GACCTCGGCGACGATGGGCACGGTGGAGTTGACGGGGTTGGAGATGACAAGCACGAAGGCCTTGGGCGAGTGCTCGGCGATGCCGACGGCGATGTCGCGCACGATGCCGGCGTTGATCTGCGAGTCGGACCGGTACGATGTTCGAGCGAAGGATGGAGGTTATGTGAGTCCGATCGAGGAGCGATCAAGACGCCGGAGAGGGTGCAGCCGAGCCAATAGCGCAGGCGAAGAGATGCGCGCAGTTGTGGGAGCCAGAAATTGCGAGCGGATTTGTTGGGTGGCGTAGAAGCGGAAAGCAACAAGAGGTGTCAGTCGAGCTGCGTCATGCTCAAGCCACAATCACAACGGCGCGGTAGCACGAGTCGACTGCCCAGAGCGCTTTGCGGCCGATACAGAGCCGGCGCAGCGATGCAGCGCAGCGAGGATGCCTGGACAGAGACTGTCCTGACTTGCCGACGAGGTGCGGCGGTGGACCGCAGGCGGTGGTAGCTCCGGGCGGAAATCAAGGTCGGCGAGGCGAGATTTCCGAATGGGAACCGCAGCAGAGCGCGACCCCAGCTTTTGGTCACAGCCCAAGCTGGCTCGCCGCGCATGGACCAACAAAATTCGACTTTGGCCCCCAAATTTGGAAGCCAGGCGGTGCGCGGTGCAGCGCGTGGCCTGGCGAGCGCATATCGATCGGTAGGCGTGTTGGGAGGGCCGGGCGCTGCGCTGCTGCGCTGCTGCCCCGCATACCGCACGACTCGTCGATACTGTGGCCAAACGGAGGCCGGTCGAGCTGGGTCGAAGCGCTCACGGGCTGCGGAAGGCCCGTGTCTTTCTAGTGGTGCGTTTGTATGTACTCACGTTGAAGAGGTCGTCGCGGGTCATGCCGGGCTTACGGGGGACACCGGCGGGGATAACGACAATGTCGGCGTTCTTGAGCGCCTTTCCGAGGCCACCGTCGGCGGGGAGGTAGCCGGTGACCACCGAGGGGGTGTTGATGTGAGACAGGTCGGCGGCGACACCGGGGGCGTTGACGCTGTTCGACGAAGGCAGGAGTCAGCTTCAGATGCATCTCGACCGATACGGATACGGGGAGCATGGTTCTGCGTCGAGGGCACTTACACATCGTAGAGGGCGAGGTCGGTGACGAGCGTCGACTGCTTGAGCAGCAGCGAGAGAGGCTGGCCGATACCACCGGCAGCACCAATAACAGTAGCCTTGACCATTTTTGCGAATGAAGAATGTGACGGGGGGAGGAGGAGATTGTCTAGTTGCGAGTGGGATGGAGTTGGAAGAGAAGCAGGGGCATGTCCGGAAGACTTGGAGGTGCTTTGAGCCGCTTCTGATCAGCCGGGCTGACCGTGCGGGAAACTCCACACTGGCGGGCGGCGCGCGGATCAGCGTAGCGCGCACTGCTCCCACTGCGCTGGCTCAGCTTCCGCAGAGGCCAGCTGTCTCCGATGCGTGGAGACATCCGCGCACTCGACACTCGCATCCTCACATCCACGCATCATCCGTCGGGGCTTCACAGCATGCTCAATGCGCCGAACCCGCTTCGGGCAGGTGGGCGGGCAACACCGGCGCTCAGCGGATTCACGCGCTCCTTTCCGCTCCAGAGGCTCGCGCATTCACACGAAGGCGCCGATCGCGCCATCCTAGTGCCGGCGTATTCCGGATTAAAGACCAGCTTTGTTAGACTTCCCAGAATTCGATCCTTCCCGAACCCATATTTGTCCCGATGAGGATGTGCATCCCGATCCAGATCAAGCCCTCCCTGGACGCCTCGACTCGCCATCGTCGCGAACCATCGGCCTTCGTACGAGGCGCGCAACTCATGTACATCGACATGACAGCCAATCCAAGAAACGGATATCCATGGAGCGGATCTCAATGCCTCAAACTTCAAAGCTCGAGACATTTCAACTCGAATTGTGACGGGACCTATAGACATTATGGGTAAAACGGCATAGGAGAACGATCGTGGTGTTCGAGCACCTTCGTATCATGCTCCGATCACGACGACGACATCTGAAGCTTGTTACCAGACAGGCCACCCGAGCCAGAAGAGCGGCGAGAGCCAGGGCGGGTGCCTCCAGGCGAAGCGGGCTGCGAAGTGCCGGGGGGACCGAGCTTTCCGACCTTCAGACCTTCATCCAATCCATCGAGCGCATCCATGTCGTCGTTGTCGAGCTGGAAATCGAAAAGCTGAGCGTTCGACTCGATGCGGTGCTTCGTAAGACTCTTGGGGAGGATGATGTTTCCATGCGCCAGACCCCACTTGAGCAGAATCCTGAAGCGTGAGAAGCGTGTGATAGCGTAAAGAGTCAGTGAATGGACGCGAGACGAGTTGTGCAGGCCGAGAGGCGGCGGGGCGGTACTTACTGGGCGGGGGTCTTGCCGTGCTTGGTGGCGATGGCCTTGATCTCGGGGCGGTCGAGCGCCTGGCCCTGAGCCATGGGCGAGTAGGCCTGGATGTGGATGCCGCGCTCGATGCAAGCCTCGCGGAGCTCCTCGTGGGCGAAGAAGGGGTGCGACTCAATCTGGTTGACGGCGGGCTTGATGCGGCAGTTGGCGAGCAGGTGGTCGAGCTCCTCGACGTCAAAGTTGGAGACGCCGATGGTCTTGATCTTGCCGGCGTCGACAGCCTCCTCGAGGGCCTTCCAGGCCTCGAGACGCTTCTCGGGGCCCATGGTGCCGGGCGAGTGCATGAGATACATGTCCATGTACTCGACCTGGAGCTTCTTGAGCGAGTCCTCGATGGCGGCGGCGGCCTTGTCGTGGTCAGCGTCCCAGAGCTTGGAGGTGATGAAGATCTCGGAGCGGGGCACGTTGTTGGCCTGGGTCCACTCGGCGAGGGCGCGGCCGACGGACTCCTCGTTCATGTAACGGGCAGCTATGATGCACAAAGTATAGAGGGCGCGTTGTGACAGGTCAGTCAGGCATTCTAGCTGGGACACACGACGCAAGACGCAAGATGAGCGGATGCAAGCGCTGAGAGATACGTACCCGAGTCGATGTGGCGGTAGCCGGCGTCAAAGGCCCACTTGCAGGCGTTCTCGGTGGACCCATCGTTGGGGGCCTTGTAGACACCCAGGGCGACCTGGGGGATCTCGACGCCGTTGTTGAGCTTGACGCGCTGGGTGGAGATGTTTCCGGCGATGATGCCGCTGGCAGTGACCTTGGACATGATGGGCAAAAGTAAGTTGGTTTTGGATACGAAAGGAAGAGAGGGGTGGAAGAGCGATGGGGTGAGAACGAACGGCGGTGGTGCGGGCTTGGCGAGGTTTAAGTAGTAGGCCGATCGTGCAAGTGAAGCCAGCGGGAAGTCACACACGAGCAGGCATGAGCAGCGGAAAGTCTGAGAAGACAGCCGACGTGGAGCAGCGAGCAGGCAGCATGGGCACGGGCAAGGGCACGGTGCAAGGCAAAGACCGGCGCGAATCTGGCTCAAGGTTGGGCGCTAGGTGAGGCAAGTGCGCATGCGCTGCGATCTGGGCGCACCTCCCGGCGTGGCTGCTGCGGTGCACGGAGCGGCAGGACAATCTCATCGAGGCGCGCCAGGCATCGCAGAGCAGCGGCGCCGATTGAATGGGATGCGGCTGATTGCAATTGTGCTTGTGTGGGTCGAGGGACGGGCCCTGGGTTTGGAATTGGGGTGCCACGGCGCAAATGCTCGTCACAAGCCGCACACCGAGACGGGCCGAGGTAGCTGCGACGAGAGGATCACACAGAGGCCATGCGCACACGGCAGACGCTAGTTGCAACGACGACGGAGGCAGCAGCGACAGAAGCAGCGGCAGGACGCAGATCCCAGCGGGCGTGCAGCTGATGATGGCGCCTGCGCATTGCGTCGATTCGAGAGCTGATGCGAACGAGGCCCTTGCACCCTATCCGCGAGCGGAAGGCGTAACGAAGAGGAAAAAAAGGTGTCAGGTCAGCGGACCAGACAAGCGGATCTGCAGAGGATGGGCGAGCTGGATACGGTCATCGAGCATCGATCGTGCATCCACTTCGAATGCATGCATGCCTGCACTGCACGTCTTGTGTGAGGGTGCTCGCTCGAGCCACTCTGGAAGCACCAAAACGCGAATCTGGGCGGCCGCGAAGGGCTGAAGTTGCGCCTCGGTTGATTTTTTTTTTTTT